AGTGACCAGGTTCAGCCGCAACCTGCGAAGCCACAAGTTTATTATCTGGTCCACCCTTACAAGCAGAATGATCCATTTGACATCGATGGCCATTTTCGGTTTTACCAGGTCAGTGTTAATTCTTTTCAGTGCAAGAAATGAGTATTCGTTCTCTATTTTTGAGTAAGAAATTTATAACAACGTGAGACTACGATTCTTGGCGTTATATCCCGACCAAGTAGCAGATTTCACACTGCCACTTTATTACCTACACCATGATATAAGACATGTGGTGAGTTCTAATGATTGCATAAGCTCTGGAATGCAGGAAGTATTACGATACCGAAATTGCAGAACTTAAGGCCTTTACTACATCAACTGACTTACTGCTACACCACAAGAAAGAGTAGCAATACAAAAAAGTATTATAAAAAGTAGTAAAATTCTCTTAATCAGTATCCAGTTGTTCTACTAGTAGTAGCTGTATTTGATACTGATTTTGTAATATTACTAGTAGTAGTAATATCGGGAGTAATACACGAAGAAAGTAAAGGTATTTATTGTGCTGGTAGCACTGGACTGAAGGGGATAGCTGTCGTTGAAAAAACATATTCAGTATTGTGCTTTGCATCAACTTTGGCTTAAGAATAGCGTCTGCACACTGCCCTGCTCCTTCACGTGCCAATCGGCAAATAACAAAGGTTCATTCTCATTTGAAGTGGGATTCACGTGTTCGGTTCCACATTACCTCTACTACGAAACAGTAAGCCCCAACGAGAAATATACTGCGTCGAGACCCCCATAACGGACGCAACGACACTTAGGTCAACGTCTACTATGTAGGTCAGCACAATAGATCTCCAACGCATGTCGATAGAAATTGTCATTCTCTGGAATGTGGCTGCACGGGTTTAAGAAAGACTCAGAGTGTGCGACGCTGATTTGGCGCTTTTTCTACAGGCATTCAACAAAAACACGCATAAGACAACATTAACTCTTCGAGGAAATGGTAATTCAACGTTAATTCGACGTTTACGGTAGGTAAATCAATGTTGGATTATTTCCAATATTTGCTATAACAACGAGTTTGGGCATCGTTTAGACAGAATGTGTGCAAAGCACAATAGTTCTAATTGTAGTTGTCTTAGTAGTCGTAGTACTAGCTGATTTAAAGTAGTAGTAGTAGTAGTAGTAGTAGTAGTTTTCTGGGGATCGATCTCCTCCGTGCGAAAATGCGGTTTTGTCCCTACTGAAAATGCAAACTACTACTTCTAGTCTGCTACTGACTGTAGTATTTGTTTTACTAACTATAAGCTACAAAAATAACCTTTGATTATTAGA